ATACGTTTCATGATTTGTCTGGTACAATTCAGACTACACTTGTTGTCTCAATAACAGAAATATTTCAGGATTTGTCAATACAGAACAGAAACACTTCAGGATTTGTCTGGTACAATACCGACTATACACTTTTTGTCTCAATAACAGAAACATTTCATGATTTGTCAATACAGAACAGAAACAGTTCAGGATTTGTCTGGTACAATACCGACTACACTTGTTGTCTCAATAACAGAAATATTTCATGATTTATCAATACAGAACAGAAACATTTCAGGATTTGTCTGGTACAATACCGACTACACTTTTTGTTTCAATAACAGAAATATTTCATGATTTATCTCGTATAATACAGACTACATTTGTTGTTAATTAACAGAAACATTTCATGATTTATCTAGTATAATACAGACTACACTTGTTGTTTAAATAACAGAAGTATTTCATGATTTATCTGGTATAATACAGACTACACTTGTTGTTTAAATAACAGAAGTATTTCATGATTTATCTGGTATAATACAGACTACACTTGTTGTTAATTAACAGAAACATTTCATGATTTATCTAGTATAATACAGACTACACTTGTTGTTAATTAACAGAAACATTTCATGATTTATCTGGTATAATACAGACTACACTTGTTGTTTCAATAACAGAAACATTTCATGATTTATCTAGTATAATACAGACTACACTTGTTGCTTCAATAACAGAAACATTTCATGATTTATCTGGTATAATACAGACTACACTTGATGTTTAAATAACAGAATCATTTCATGATTTATCTAGTATAATACAGACTGCTTGTTGTTTAAATAACAGAAGTATTTCATGATTTATCTAGTATAATACAGACTACACTTGTTGTTTAAATAACAGAAGTATTTCATGATTTATCTAGTATAATACAGACTGCTTGTTGTTTAAATAACAGAAGTATTCATGATTTATCTGGTATAATACAGACCGCTTGTTGTTTCAATAACAGAAGTATTTCATGATTTATCTGGTATAATACAGACTGCGTGTTGTTTAAATAACAGAATTGTTTCATGATTTATCTGGTATAATACAGACTACTTGTTGTTAAATAACAGAAACATTTCATGATATTTTGGTATTATTCATAATTCATGCGTTGCAATAACAGAAATATTTCATGATTTAACTTAAGATATATAGGTTGCACTTAAGTGTGTACACAATTGTTAGTTTGTAAATAAAAAACATGTTTTCAGATAACACCCGTCAACTAACAATAATACCACTTCCTATTTGGAGAAATATGTGTTAAGTAAGATTATATATAGTCATTTAGTCATTTGGCTATTTATATGTTCGATTGATCATTCGAATAGGTTTTTCCTTATTTTATATTGCATTGTTATTACAGTCAGTACATTTATATTAAAGGGACAGTATGCAAAATTTTCACTATCAAAACATTATAAATCATACTTGAAAATATATATATCATGTATATCTACTTGATCAAACTGAATTTTAATTAAAACGGAGAGTACTAATTGTCGATTAAGCAGTAAGACCTAAAATTGGTGTATGCCCTCATAACGACCCGATATTTTCAATTGAATCCTATAGAATAAGTAGAACTATATGAGAACTTGGGTCGAAGAAAGAGCTATAGGCTATGTGGCAATTTTCAACAAAAGCGAAAATTTGACCTATGACACTAATTAGAACAATTCGGCAAATCCTTTAAATTGATTGTAAAGGGGTTATCTAAGATTTGTATGTTTATCAGAGACACTGATAGCATCAATTTGCTTCTAATTTTCAATCAGACGTCTGTGGTTTCTATAATTTCACACAAAAAATCTAATCGCTAAATATGCTTTATCACATTCGCCCTTCGCGATTAGTGACGTTATGAAACACTTAGTCCCCGATACACATACAAAATTTAGAAAACCTCTTTTCAATCCCCGTAAACGATGTATTGGCATATGATAATCTATACATTCTGAAATGGAATCCTAATATTGTCATTACTAGACATCTTTTGTTTGTATATTAAGAAATATTATGCAACCTAGTAACTCAGAGAACCAACCACTATAATATAATGGTAATCAAACATTGAATAGATTTATTAGGAACATCATCAATATTCATGATAAGGAAATTATCAACACATTGTGTTTCAGTGATTGATCTATTTCTACATGTTTCAGTTTTATTATTTTTATTGATTTAAAGTATGGTGGTTACGGTGAATTTCACAAGGGAAAAATAGTATATCCACAATAGGTACTCGTATTTACTGGGATAAAACTGACATCATTACAAGCACTTTTTAAATCTCAAAATTCCGTTAATCAAAATGTCGTCCAAAGTACGACGAAATCGAGAGTAAAAAGTTTATAGTAGTGTACCCCTATAAAAGAGGAGTACCATCAGGTGTTTTGAAAAGAGTAAGCATGGTCTTATTCGTGCGCTATCTAGGTCGACATCATGAGATACCAACTACTACGGCTACCAAGTACTTTGTTTGCGATAACAGCATCCGCTGAAAGCGAACGTTAACTCATCTTCCAACCAACCAAGATACAATCAGATCAATTTATGCCTGACCAAACAAACAGTCAAGTTGCAAGAATAACGGTCATTTTCAGATCATTGTAAAAATCAATTTAAATACTTAGATATATGTATAAACTACTTCTGACTTTATTACCTACTACCATGATTGTAATCTATATAGTATTGATATAGTATATCCATATATCGTATTTTTCATGTAACACAGTGACGTTTCTAAGAAACATACGCGAGGGGAACAGAGCAGAGGCCACAGGGGGCCATGGGCCATTCTCTCACTATGTGAAATGATGGAAAATTTGAGTGGGAGAGGAGGGGCAAAGCAGGGCCAGCCTCTTTTCCCTGTAGAAACGCCGTGTCATTTTGAAAAGACGTCATTGAAAAACTGTGCAAATTTGGTATACTGTAAATTCAATTTTAAATACGAAGCAATGTGTAAAAACAGATAAGAATTGGTAAGATTTGTGTAGTTATTGTCCTTAATCTTACAACATACCCCTTATATTATAGTCACTGGACATTTTGGAAATGTTATTGCAATATTTGAAGAACAGTTGACACTGCCTTGTCAAAATATGATGGCTACTAAAATAATAGTTACGACTCTATTTATTATTTGATTGACATAAACAAAACGTGATATATCGAATGAAAAATGAAGTAAACATATTCATCTATTGACATCTACTTTCAAGATTTAACCTTGTCTTGTTTTCATCTTTATCAGTAATAAAGATGTCACAGACTGTCCAAAACTGTCCAAAACTGTCCTCTGATGAAACGTTTAAAACATCATCTGTTTTTATGTGTTTTTCTACGCTCTTTGAAGCTGTAAATACCCACCAATTTGATAGTTTCAGAACGTTCTTGCAGACGAACATTTTTGCTAATGCTTAGAACATGAGAATTTGTCGGCACCTGCTATATCACAATCTTCGGTACGCTTTTAATCAGATGCCACCATATGTAGTGCCCAAGCGTTGCACCTGCAATTAGTGTCTATTCGAAATAGTTATAGCCATGACCTTATCAAGTCATTCAAACTACGTTCGTGTGTGTTATTTCCATGTAAGAACTATACGTAGTTTTGTATGATTATCAGGCCTCACAGCTCCAAATCCAGCTTTTAGTATTTTCCTTCACGTTATAACAACCAACTGTCTTTTTTCAAAGGGAAACTGCCATGATTTATAGGTTTATTCGTAAGAATTTGATCATTGAATTTAAAATCACCAGTTAAGTCGCCGCTTAGAAATGTGGGCAAAAGCAAATTTCGATTGGTTTCCAGTAGTACCAAGCCATCAATATGAGATCATAAAATCATGGAATCAGAAAATCATTGGTTATGGGATTTTTCTGGCAACAGACTTCTTAGACTATTTACAAAAATAGTCAAGGTATAAACAGCCTTTTATTTCTAAAGAAGAACGATCATACCTTTTGAGACGCTTATAAGTGTTTCTCTTGAACTTTTTGTTACCAGACCATCAATGTTGAGTGTTTTCTGACCATTACGATTTTTATTTATTCAGTACTGGATAAAAGCACCTGGAAATTAATTTCCTGTCTCAGAATTGATTCCAAACCATTTTCAAGTCAAATATCGCTTGTGATTATAATCTAAATAAGTATATATAAGATCATATCGGGTAAAAATATAGTTTAGTTCCCAGTTCCATTCTTTTCTCAGACAATGACACTTGGTATTTTCCTGTGTACAGAGATGATGGAGATGTTATATATTATTGATAAAGATGTCTTTGCTTTGTTAGTTTTCTTTGATCTTATGATGCCGTTAATTCGTAAAGGACCACAAGACATACAGGCTTATAGACGTGGAATGAAATGTTCGTGAAGCCGTATTTCAACATTGACACATTCAAGCATACGGAATGCTGAAAGAAATGTACTGAGTTCCAACACTCCCAACACCCAGTAACCAGACTTGAATGTATCCAGAGGGGCGATGGTGTATGGTTTTTAGTTGCATCAAGGGAATTGGTCGGTTGTCAGGATTTTTCAAGGAAGTGGGCAATCCATTGGGGGAAGGTAGGGGGTGGGGTGCTGGAGTTGGAGTTGGTCTGGTACTTGCTGGATGACGGTGTACTCATTTTGTAAGGAGTTGCATGGGAAGACTACCACATTAAAACTTATGATACGCTGGGTTGCACTGATCCCCTAGCAATTCACATCCACATCACATCGCCAGCTTATGAATTGCCAGTCTATAATGCCACGAACTGATGCCACGACCGGTTTTCTTGCGATTTCTCGTGCTGTTACAACTGAACATGCATATATCACCAAAGAATTCAAGATGGCTACCAAGCCTACAGGCTATATTTTTAAAAATTTAAAAAAAAGATAATTATGATGTATTACATATTTATGTATTCAGTATGATGATATACCACCCTCTAATTAAAACATAGCTGTACAAGATACATCGCTCGGGGCATAGATATTGATGCATGATTCACTCGAGATCTTTTTGTTGCTGAAATCCAAGGAAGCACAAAAAGAACTTAATGTTATTAATCGAGTTTAGACGTACCTTAAACGCCGTCTAGTGGCTATATTTGTGCAGGTTTTCAACGCCATAGTGAATTTTGTATGACACATGAAGAAAGAATGCTCTTGCTGCATGAACACGTATCTTGAGGGTCCTCTCTATGAACTCGTTAAGGACTGAAATTATGGGTTGTTTAACGAGACAATAATTATGTCATTATTGGGATAATTTTGATATTGACAAATCTAGGCTTTCATAACTGCCACCGGTTCATTTTAATCCACAAACTCAACCTGGGATATAAATTCTGATACCTGGATCAAATGGCACTCAATCATCTCTGATCAAACTGTAAAAGATGTAATCCCTTTGACTATTATCTAGTTTAAAAAAAAGTAAGCTTGTTGCTTAAGCAATTAAAGGAATTGTAAAGAGATTTTCCAAATTTTTTTATGTGAATCGAGGACACTGGTATCATCAATCTGCACCGTTCAAATTTTCAACCAGACGTCTGTGGTTCCTGAAATAAGTGTTTTATGACGCCACCAATATGCTTGTATCAAATAAGCCCTTCGCGAATGATGCCGTCATCAAACACTTAGTTTTACTGGAATTGCAGTGACCACTGACGTCTGAAAATTGGAATGGTGCAAATTGATGCAAATGGTTTCCTCGATACACATAAAAAATTTGGAAACCTCTTAACGATCCCTTTCATCCAATGTTGCTCGCTATTATGAAGTTCAAAGTTATCCGTTGATAGTACAATAATCAATATGTAATGACATTTAAATAGTACCTAACTAATTAGATACTTATTCATCAGTAACCATACTTTATTTACGATCATATTAGTCTGTTGACTTGAGATACTATAGCTAATACACTATTACTACAAGAACTATTATATTGAATTCATGTCAATCTATACGAATAAAGGAATTATTGAGAGTGGATGCTTTTGATACGTTGATGGAATAAACTTCGCAGTTAATGCTATATTAGTTGTTGTCGAAGGCAATGCAGATGTTCCTTGTTGTATAACAGCATTATTCCTTCATATACTGATATTTCCCCATTGCTCACTTCATACAAATGACGTTAGTTCTCAATGTCATCGCTACTGTTGTAAGTTCTTTATATAATTCTAGATTTGGCAGAAAGTTTCGCGAATAATATACAATTTGATTTGATTCGCAGATCGTTGTGAAAAACTTCAGTTTTGACTCGCAAACTCCAACGGCGTCAAATACAATTAAACGTTTGTCTATTGGTTCCTCCAAAAAAACTTGCAAAACCATGATGATGAAATAAATGCAAAATGGTGTAAGAAATTCCTCCATTTTGAAGGTGTGAAACAATATACCTATCCAATTAATATTTAGACGAACTTATTGATCTTCAATTTGTTTTGCTGATTCACTAACTAGTTTCAAACACGTCGTGAATGTGACACATAGAGTATATTAACAAAAAACGTGTTATACTATATAGGTATAATAAATCAAGTAGAAATAGATATTATTAGTTGTTCATTGACCACAGATGACCTGATTTTCTCTGACAAAAGACCATAGAGTTGAGCGAATAAAGATCGCTTATTGGTTTACCTGGTATACAAATTGTAATATTTGTTCAACTTGTAATGCAAATTGATTTATCCATCATCACTATTCGATTGTAGTTTGATCAAAAATTCTAAATTATTCTAAGAATAACTGTTCTTATTCTTGATGGGAAATCTATATTCATTTAAAATGCAAATTTTACATAGTTCAACAATTACAGTATGCATCGTAGCCGACAAACCGTAAAAGAGTAAGATCTGTAATGTACTGGACAAATCATGAAATATTTCTGTTATTTAAACAAAAAGTGAAGTGTGTATTATACCAGACAAATCATGAAATATTTCTGATATTCAAACAACAAGTTTATGCTGTATTGCATCAGACAAGCATGAAATATTTCTGTTATTTAAACAAAAAGTGAAGTGTGTATTGTACCAGACAAACAGTATCCTCGGCAGCAGTATAGCAGCAGCGGCGGCGCCATTGGGGGTACTGGGGGTAGTTGGGGGGAGGGGTGCATTTGCATTGCAGAAAAATTGTTTGCACCACCAGTTGTACCCACTTTGTTTGAAACAAACTTAAAAACATTTTTTATATACGTTTTTGCAAACAAATATGTGTCAAAATGTACCAAATCAATTCAATTTTTCTGAAATTTTCTTGGAAGAACCCTCTCAGGCATGCGGATATGACGCCCCCACAGTGTTTTTAATTTAGCATGGATAGTTGTCCCCCTATTGAGTCAGTCTGCCCCATATTTGTATCCCAAGGCTGGTGCCGTCACTGAGCAGCAACAGTATAACAATCCACTAATTCAAATTCTTTTATTTTTTTTCAGCACCAATATGTAGTAAGGAAAATGTATTAGGACGAGTGGTTACTTTAACTGGGAAACATGGCGGAGGTACAGATTGTAGCTGTACGTTACAAGTTTCTTCTAGTGATCAGTTTGCTATGTACCCAGTTACTTTTACTGAAACGAGGACACCATCAGGTTGTCAGTACGCATTAAAATTTGAATTTGGTACCTTACAAAGACTATACTCTTGTTCCCAACCTGGAAGTCCGCAATATACCATGTACCCTGAAGACATATTAACGCTAAGTATAGTGTCCGGCTCGACCCGTTCTGGAGGATTTGATTTTTCCTTCAATGTAACGTCAAGTACACGTAAGTATTTATCCTGATCGGTCACTTTCTTAGTCAGAGGTGATAGTCGTAAATAAAATACTTCAATAATGATCGTATATTATCATGTGATTTGGAGGCTCCATTGGCAGTCGACAGTGATAATGTGTAAACTGAGTTTCAATCTTCAATGTCTTGGTTGTATCGGGATCATAGATGTACGAGACGGGTGGTGATTTGACAGCGACCGAAAAAAAAATCGGGCAACCCGAAAACAAAGAAAAATACAAGTAAACTTCGTGGGAAAATTTCGGGCAAACCAGCCTGCCCCCTCCGCCCAACAAGTCTTCGGCCCGTCCGCCTATGATTGGGGTTTTAGTTTGTCTTTAAACTAAATTAAAATAATGGCCATTTTTGGTAACTTGGTCATAAATCAATAAATGCATTAAAGGGATTGTAAAGAGGTTTTTCGTATTTTTGTATGTGTATAGCATCACCTTGCACCATTTCAATTTTCAATCTGTGATAAAACTATATGTTTGATGAAGTCACTTATCGCAAAATATACTTTATCACGTAAAGCCCGATACACATAAAATGTTTTAGAAAATCCCTTTACAATCCCTTTAAGTGTATTTTATCTTTTTACATTTAAACAAGTTTCGAACGTAGTCCATTGTGAAATGCTCAATGCCAATTTATGACAGTGGGACAAGGATAGATTGTACCATGTAATGGCTGTAAAATAATACAAGTGTATTTTCCTTGATAACGTGATACAATAGCTCAGTCTGATTATAGTGCTGCTGATGGCATAACGATTGTACCTACGATATTTATTTGCTATTATGTTTAACGGTTAATTTCAGTAGAATTGCAAGACCCACAGACTTCTGACCGAAATTTGGAATGGTTCAAATCGGTGCTACTAGCAGTGTCCGCGGTACAACTACAAAATCTGTACCCCTTTAAGACATTTTATTGACAGACTGTGTTTCGTAACATAATACTAGAAAGTACATTCAATTTTATTTCAGCAAGTTCAGAAATAACTTTAGCGTGTCAACAAACTCCACCGGATGCTACATCATCTACCCCCATTCCAACTACTTCAACGTCGCAGACGACAACGAGCACGTCAACAACCACTAGTTCAGATCAGTTAACCTCGTCCAGTACTTCAGGAAATAGTCAAACAACAGATTCCGGTGGAGAGACGACATCTTCCGGTGGTGGAACTACGTCTTCCAATGATAAACCCCCAACTCCAAAGCCGTCTGTGTCAGGAACTACAGATGACACTATGGTTATTCCCGTCACAACTGACGATTCCCCGGCAAAGTCCACAGAACCAACATCTATATCAAGTAAGTTTATGTTGATTTCATTTGTTTTCGTTCGTGCGTTCTAATCCTGTTATTCAGTATGGAAGACAGAACAGTCCAGTACGATCAGTAGAAATTAAATTTTCCAGATAGACTAGGTAGCAAAAAAATCAAAATTGACATCTTCGTATCTGTTAGGCCCATATTCTTTAGAAATTGTTTCACGAGGTAAAAAATTTTTTGTCCAAAATCAAAAACATATTTGGATACGTAAGTATGACCGAAATGAGCTTTATGCTGGTAAAGTAAATACATAGACGGCTTTATACAAATCAAACAACCCTTTTTATTTGAAATAAATTGCTCAAAATACATGTATGTTATTCTCGAGTTTAATGCGTGTGTTCATATCTACAAAACCAACCATAAGTAGAAGCGCATGTTGATTGGCCAGTTGTACAATGACTTGACATCTTGAATACTTCGGGGTTTGAAATTAAACAAGGTAGAATTATATAATAGTTTTGGACGTGTTGACGAGACGATGTGAATTAATCTAAAATGGCATAGTGAGTTCGAATAGTTTTGAAATTCCAAACTGAATATAATTTTCTATTCCAGCTGGAGCAATTATTGGTGCTACTCTAGGTGTTATACTATTATTTGTTGTACTGGTTGTAATCTTATTATGGTAAGTATTTATGTGATTATTGGTGCTACTCTAGGTGTAATACTATTATAAACCTATACAATCAAAACGTATGTTGACATTCAGAAATTCTCGGCAGTTTCCGTAAAGCTGAATCTGTACGGAGTGCTAGCGTAACTTTCACAGTAGGCCGTTTGGTATAGTGAATATCTAACATTTCATCTGATCACGTTTCAACGTCAACGTCACATCCGAAGATTCAATTCATTTTATTTAAATTTTAGGTAAACTCGACTGTAGCACGGTCGGTTAGAGTGTTGTTTCTTTACGTCATTTACATGGTTGAGTCTAAGCTCTATATACAGGGCTTTGGATTAAGTGGGACAAATGATGGTTGTGAATTCTGATTTCACTCATAATTCCAGCTGTAAATGGGTACAGATAATCCGGAAAATATCAATGCTAAGAGGATTGGTAGAAATTATTCTTTGTGAACCAAAGTTGTTATCCTTGTAACCTTTATAGTTTCGTTTCTTTTTTCTTTCTGACTTGAATTTTCAATTTTCTTTATTGCAGTGTATGGAAGAAAAAGCTAAAACAAAACAAAGTTGGAGCATCATAAAGGAAATCAGGTTTTAATAATTGATTCAAGTGCCATCAAAGTATCGTCCGCAATTCTATTTAAAGCAGGGTTGTGTAAATTTGTGAAACAGATTAATATTATAAGTTATGTGAACTCTTTAAGAGAAGAACCAAGTCACAGAGTGCCTTGTACCAGTAGTGTTAAGATGTTTATTTCGTGGTATGATAGTCTTTTGATTGAAAATGCATCATATGAGGTTATTTTGATGTGCGTACATATAGATTCGCTTAAAAGCGATACGTGTAGTATCGTGCACCATTTATAAAGGGATCTCAAGATCAACGACAAGATCCAATTTGTGTTCCATATAGAAAATGGCAACTCGGGGCCATCGCGACTTTCAGTTGTTGATGCACTTGGATGAACTAATGGATGCCGCCTGTTGCTAGCAGTAGCTCAGATTCTTCAGGTTGAGAGGTCGATCTGGTTCAGACTTAATGTCCTTACAATGCATTTGACATTGGTCTAACTAAATAATAGTTTGTTGTGTACATGTATACGAGAAAGTGTGAATTCTTCCAAATAGCTCGAGTCAACTGTTTTTTGTGCGTATTCATGCATGTACTTGCTACTTAACTGTGCCATATTCTGTATATAATATTATGACGGTGAATGGTGTGCCAAAATTTGTAAATTTTGTAAATAATTCTTAATACTTGCAGAATACGTATCTTTAGAACCCAGTGAAAAAATGTGAGGCCTCTGAATGAATATGATATCGAACAGATACAATATTTCTTTTTTGGTATCTCTTTTGTTATATTTTTGTTAGTTCGATAATTTTAAAATGTAGAAAAAATGTAACGGTATAATTTGGGATGATCACATTATTTTAATAAGGTAATTTGCTATTGTCAGTGACTAAACACCCGCAGTAGTCAAAACAACCATAAACAACAGAAAAACAGAAATCTCGCCTTATACCTTGACTCAAATATCCAACTTTCTTGAATCATTGAATAGCGAATACAAACTTCCGTGATACAAGAAAGGTTGATTTTACAGTCAAGGTATAAGACGAAGTTCGTAATCTTGAATTGGTATAACACATGTTGATAACATATAATAATATACTCTAGTACTGATCAATATTTAAATATTTGTAAAATTGATTTTTACATTGTAATTAGTGATATAGAAAGATAATGTAGATATTTGACCAGAAACCGGATCTGGAACGTGCCTTAACATTAATTGACAATGTTTGTCATGCAAGTAATAAACATAGAAAATTATTTAAAGAGATGTTGTCCTCTTTATATATTGTATTTACGCACCCCTAACCACTTTTCAAAATGTAAGCCTAACGTCTGTTTCTTGATAATTGAATAAATATTATACAATTTGATATCAATTCATTCAGACTCCACTAATCCACTGAATCGAATCTACTGAATTACCCTAGAATTTCACTATTTCATTATGTCTATCATTTAGCTTCATTGAACGTCCAGCTTGCATTCTGAAAAGTGTTCCGGGTAAATAATTGAGCTTTATCAACAATTTCCTTGAAGACTTAAACTTCTACATGTATATGTACTTGCTTCATAATTACAAGAATTATGACTTAATCCTATTTCCCAATGGCTTATTATATATTTTTTATACTCTGTACACAGTAGTCTCCCTTTGATCAATATTTCAACCTGTTTAGGTTGATTAGTTTTCAAGTCACATTGACCTGGCTTAATCTGATATCAATTACTATAATTATTTTATATAAATTAATATTTGATAAGAATATCAATTGTTATATATAATCTGTAAACTATTTATATCACATTATAAGAGTAATTGTATAAAGTAAAAAATATCAATTGTTATATACTGTAAGATTTTTATTATATAAGAGTAATTGTATAAAGTAAGAAGAATATCAATTGTTATATATAAACTATAATCTATTTATAATATTTTGTAAGAGTAATTGTATAAAGTAAGAAGAATATCAATTGTTATATATATAAACTATAAACTATTTATAATATTTTGTAAAAGTAATTGTATAAAGTCAGAAGAATATCAATTGTTATATATATAAACTATAATCTATTTATAATATTATGTAAGAGTAATTGTATAAAGTAAGAAGAATATCAATTTTTATATATAAACTATAAACTATTTATAATATTATGTAAAAGTAATTGTATAAAATCAGAAGAATATCAATTGTTATATATAAACTATAAACTATTTATAATATTATGTAAGAGTAATTGTATAAAGTAAGAAGAATATCAATTGTTATATATAAACTATAAACTATTTATAATATTTTGTAAAAGTAATTGTATAAAGTCAGAAGAATATCAATTGTTATATATATAAACTATAATCTATTTATAATATTATGTAAGAGTAATTGTATAAAGTAAGAAGAATATCAATTGTTATATATAAACTATAAACTATTTATAATATTATGTAAAAGTAATTGTATAAAATCAGAAGAATATCAATTGTTATATATATAAACTATAATCTATTTATAATATTATGTAAAAGTAATTGTATGAAATCAGAAGAATATCAATTGCCATTTATATAGTGTAAACTATTTATATTATCATAAGTAATTGTATAAAGTAAGGAGTCAAACGATTAAATCTATTTATTTCACTTAAATTGAAGTTTGTGGTGCCTTTAATCCTTCGATAGTCTCCGAATGCTACGAAATCGTATTTTTCAATTCGCGAGTATCAAGTCTCAAAATGAGATGTAGGACTATCGGGGTGGTCGGAAGCTGTCGGATGATTAAAACACTGTTGAAAATTCCTATTTTTTGTATTGTTTTCAATTGCTTCCAACATGTCAGGGATGTCAATAATCCACTTCGTATGAAAGCAACATTACTTTTTCTTTAAACCGAAAGTTAGAATGTCCCCATAGATAGACAGCACTGATAAAATAATATGTAAAAGTTACAGTTAAAAATATTACTACAGAACGGTGTGAAAAAACTTGAATTTCATAAATCCTATCGACATCATTCAAATATTTCGATGAGTTACGTCGCTTCCGTGATGAGTGATATAGACCGACTGGGTTAATTCGCCGATAGTTGTTGTTCTGTGCAAGGAGGACAACCGATTTCTGCAAATTTCTTCCATTTAATCAAAGGTAAGAAATCCAAAAGCCATTGAAAATAGACCGAACAAAGCCCAATAAAATGAAACATAGAAGGTAGAAGCGGAACATCTTGTAGATGTCAGTGGATCCTCGTCAATAAATGCTATAATGCGTGCTTGCCCTCCTGATCCTCCTAAAAGCTTAATGGGCGCGACCACAATATGAGCACCAGTTACCGGAAGTTGGTCCAATTTAGCGACGTTTTCCAAAACAGTGACGTTGTTGCCGAGTGACATTCGGTGAGCAAGGTATGTTTTTGTTTGTCCGATATCAATTGAAGTTGCATCCGTTCCTATTGAAAATATATTTCTCTCCTTAACCAAGAATTCCATACCGTCGCCTCCTATTCCTGGGAAATGAAAGGTACTTGTGTCCTCGGTGTTTTCAGAGCCGAAAAGCAAATTCATATTATTGTCCTCACGTCCCCACCCAAAATGCATGAAAACTATCGACTTTTCTGGGATTCGACCATACCGAGATTCCCAATTCACCAACCATTCTCTTGAGATCTCGAAATCGGAATTGTTCTTGGCTTCCTCAATGGCTCTAAATACCACACCAGGTCCGACCAGTCTCTCCATGGGTATATGTTCCAAGGTCAATCCGTGCTTTATAAAATGTTTGGGAGCATCTATATGAGTTCCTTTATGCTCGCTTGTAGAAAACCAGTTAAACTCTACCCTGAAAAATATTGACGTGTGACTCTAAAACCAAGATGGAAGAGGATACAGATTCAAATAGTTTTACAGATCTTTTACTAATAATGCGAAACGAAATTAGAATTCTAATTCAGTTAAAAATGTTGAAGGGTAGTTGTAAATAATAAGTCACATCAGTGTTACGCATTGCCCAAGCACGTATAAAGGGGGGTAATTTAATGAGGTTGAAAGGTCATTGCGGATAAAACTACGTGATCGTCAAGTACCGCATCGTGGGGACTCAAAGGTCAAAAGGTTAATTTGACGAATGTTCAAGACTCCGGTTGTTAGACCCTACTGTGAAGTGACTAAACTAAAAATAAAAACTAATAAAAAAAACGAAACGAACTAGAGTCGTTATTGATGTTATATGCAATGCAATAGACCCAAACACAATTTGATAAAGCAGAGGCGGCAATGTGAAAACTCCTAAATGTGATAATATTACAGCTGTCACACTCATTTTCAAAATCTTTCAAAGGAGCGAAATCGGTTTATCTTCCTTACGGCCCCGCGATGGCGAATTATCTCCTATGTACTGAAAGTAATCGGAACTCCAGATTGGCTTACTAAGAACCTATATCAGTTGTATACTTACCAAAACCCTCCTGAGGTCATTTCCTTTCTCAATGGTGTTAATTTGAATGGTATGTTTCCAGGATAAGCTGGTGAACCAGGTTTTAAGACATAAGTTAGATCCAACATCCGTCCTGATACCAACTGCTTGAACATCAAACAAACCATTATCATACCAACAACTATACTCATCTTTATGTTCATCACTATGATCTAAAATTAGATTATAATAATATGTAAGGGACATGGCACCAACCCCTCGGGTCAGAAAAAACTGAAAAATGTATTCTTCTTTCACTGCCAAAATGCATTTCCTGCCCTATTCATGGAGTGATTTATTTCACATCTGAAGTTTTTTTTATTTTAAGTAATAATCCTGAAGGAAGAGGTGATGCCCCAGATTCAGGGTTTTGTGGATTCGAGGTAAATAAATGTCTCAGAAAACTTACACCTTCGGAGGTGCGGAAAGTCTTAAGAAAAAAAAGACCCTATAGTTTTCAGACCCTTCTCCAGTCGACAACTTTCACAATATATATCCGGTCAGTTAACTATTCTCTTGTCTTAAATACCTTGATATCAGATATCAACTACTGAACATATACAAATCTTTGCACTATCTTCCTGATAAATAGCCAACATTTCATGAGTGTTTACATGAAAGATTAAACAGAGCGTTTCTGACAACAATCAGCTGTTGAATCGGTTGGTTTACATGACTTTGTACTTTTATTTACAATGTGGTATCTGGCCATGGTTTGCCATATTCGGGGGTTGGTTTTGATCTTGAATACATGTAAATAGTATAACAAAGAAAGAAGTGGGGGTGTTCTCAGCAGAGAACCATGGAAATCTCTTTTAGAACAATTTCACTTTTTGAAAAGAATAAATTTGGATTTCGTAAATTCTAAAATTAAGGACTTACCCGAGAGATCAAATCTTGATCAAAAATCCAAAGCGTATAGATTTACACAGTGTCTTGCTGAAACTCAGTTATATTCAAACGTATTAAATACCTCTTATTATATCTCTTATCATCATCTGGCACGAAGCTAGAACTGCAATATAGCATAATATGTACACACGGTGTACACGAAGTGAACGTCATTCGGCAATCCTCGACAGTTTCCGTGAAACTGAATCTGTCTCGGTAATAAATGGTGAATTTCGCTGTGTCTTCTTGGGTGAGATTCTTTACTTCCGGTATTATACTACCGTATATCGCAGAGCGCAAGAGTAATTTTCATGGTAGGCCGTTTAGGCGAACTTTTATAATATCTGTGCGTATAAAGAGAAGAAAAAAATTCAATACATGATAAAGAACTGATTTCCAAGGAATGTAATGTTTTACCGTCAGTCAGAATCTTCTTTAATCTTCCGAAATATTTTACCACTCTGAGAATATGTTTGTAAGACTTGCATAGATATATATCTCTCTTGAAGTAAGACTTGTATAGTTATATCTCTCTAGGAGTAAGACTTGTATAGTTATATTACTCTAGGAGTAAGACTTGTATGGCTATAGCCTATCTCTCTTGGAGTAAGACTTGTATAGTTATATCTCTCTTGGAGTAAGACTTGTATAGTTATATCTCTCTTGGAGTAAGTCTTACTACAGAGAGATATATCTGTGTGTGTGAGACGGGGACATCCGAGCGCCCTTAGTTGGGACATTGGCTTGATATTTTTAGTTGAAACTATCTGAATAGGTCTACGTAGCAAACATATTTCTCTACAATAGTGCATTCATTTTGCTTAAATCTACAGAGTAGTTTTCTTACACCTGCCAAAATAGCCCAACGAACTTTATCTCTAGAAATAAGATTTGTCTAATTTATTCTTTCAACAATTTTATTCAGAAAATTCAGTCCTTGACCTATTTTAAGAGATCGTCTGCAAAGATATAAAGCAAAGGGAGATAATCAATATGGCTTCCACCAATAAGCCCGTAGGAAAAGTTCTTTACATTGCTTCTGTTGTGCCTGATTTGTTGCGACACGTTCAGAAACTTTTACCAAATGTCGCAATTTCACAAATTAACAATAATCTGTTCAATGGTAAGTGAATTCTTTAGGTCTGGGGCGTATACTGTCCATATATAGTTTAGTTAGTCAATGCACCGCTACGCATAACCTGTACCGTTACATAGTAAATTAGTGAATAGGCCGGTGCAGGTTAATTGTAATATTAGGCGGATTTTGTAATGGGTGAAGGTTTCGATGTGGGTGGATTTTGTAGTGAAGATTACGATGTGATCGGATCTTGTAAATGGGTCAAGATTACGATGTGATTGGATATTGTAAATGGTTAAAGACCACGAAGAATTTATTTCTGTATTATATATTATGGCTTACTATTGGCGATTAACAGCATCGAATTAGAAATTACATTTGTCTTAAATATAAAAGACAAGATAATAAAAAAAAATAGTCTTGTAATTGTGTCTGAAACATTTTAAAGCCAATAGTTTGAGAACAACCCTTTTTTTTCTTTCAGAAAACCAAGTGACTAATGAATTAAAGTCTGAATTGAAGGATGCTGAAATGTTAGTGGCTGACCCTCCTTTAATCAGTCAACTATTATATGAATCCAGTTTACCTTTAAAAGTTGTCAACTCAACATGGGCAGGTATGTTTTAGTCCGCATCAGACTGAATGACTTTGATAAGCAGTAATTAGCAGTGGCCATGTAAACTGAAAACTTCATTCTACCTTTATTTCTAAATCGCTGTAGATGTGTCCTCCCACTTCCTAAATTAGAAAATTTTAACGAAATATTGGTTCACTATTATTATTGTTTTTTTTGACACGCGAACTCTGATGCCGTTTAATTGAAGTAGGAAGAAAGTACAGAAGAGAAGACAAGATATACAGACATGGGGAAGGAAGGAGAAACATGGGGAAGTAGAATGGAATGGGGGACATGGGGAAGTAGAATGGAATGGGAGACATGGGGAAGTAGAATGGAATGGGAGACATGGAGAAGTAGAATGGAAGGAGAGACAGGGGAAGTAGAATGGAAGGAGAGACAGGGGAAGAAGAATAGAATGAGAGACAAGGGGAAGTAGAATGGAAGGAGAGACTGGGGAAGAAGAATAGAATGGGAGACATGGGGAAGTAGAATGGAAGGAGAGACAAGGGGGAAGTAGAATGGAAGGAGAGACAGGGGGAAGTAGAATAGAATGAGAGACAAGGGGAAGTAGAATGGAAGGAGATACACGAGGAAGTAGAATGGAAAGGGAGACATGGGGAAGTAGAATGGTATGAGAGACATGGGGAAGTAGAATGGTATGAGAGACATGGGGAGGAAGAATGGAATGGGAGACAGGGGGAAGTAGAATGGCGAGACAGTTGGAAGAAGAATGGAAGGAGAGCCAGGGGGAAGTCGAATGGAGGGAGAGACAGGGGGAAGTAGAATGGAGGGAGAGACAGGGGGAAGTAGAATGGAAGGAGAGACAGGGGGAAGTAGAATGGAATTTAGAGGAAACAATGGAAGGAGATAATAAAAAGTAGAGAGGTAAAACCTGTGAACAAGTTCTCTGGGTACACAGCAAACTGTGCCAACACTGAATTCTGTTTTTCACGTGGATATAAGCTTTTATGTCAATAATTTCTTTTCAGGTATAGATGCCATCATAAAGAATTTAGACAAATCAAAGGTAAGACCGGGTATATTCTGATCTATTGCAAAAAGATAAAGCTATAAATATGTTCTTTTATATGAGAGCATATTACAGTGCGGACGTACATTATTGTCCTATAGTTCACATTTTTGTTGTAGACTTTCGATGGGTTTTGATTAAATTGGGTATGATAATGTATCTTGATAAGATTCATATTCTAAATTTTTGTGTTAATAACACTGTTAATGACCATGACTTAGCCAAATCTATTGATGTTAGGGTGCTAGTACCTGGATCCCACCGGTACTAGAATGCAGTGGCCGAGCCAGGTTTGCGTCCGAGGGGGTTGGGGCGGAATTTCTGAAGTTGTCCGAATTTCTAACTTAGTTATGAGAGTCATGCTCGAAAAACTAGCATTCGGGTCTGCCAGGAGAGAGGGAGAGAGGGGGGGGGGGGGTGCATGGGGGCGGAATGGGTCATCCAAAATCTTCCGCTCCAGGTTTGTTTTTGTTTGGATTTTATTTAAGACGTCGCATCCGTCATTCTTTGTAAATTTATGGCTATACCTAAACAGAATTGTTGAGTTGTTTTCAAGGCGCTCCAAGGCTCATTCTTCATCCGGTATTGATTGTTAATTTCTATTGTAAATTTCAGGGCTATCCAAAGTTCACCCTGACTAGAATGGGTCACGGTTTTGGAGAGATTATGGGTGAATATGTTATAGGTCATATTATAGCCACAGAGAGAAGGTTTAAAGATACTTACCAGTACCAGAGTCAACACCAGTGGGCACAGTAAGTTTAAAAGGATACTACCTATTATAATCAACATGGATTTTAAATTTTGCTCAAACTTGGCTAATATAGAAACATCAGTTGACTTACATGGCGTCATAACTATACGACAGAATCCCCTGTATGATTCGATATATTCATAAATTATTATTGAAAGAGTCTGCTAAGCATGTTTCAAATCGTCGGGAGATCGGAGTGCGCCGGAGGCCTTTTTTATGCTGTTTTGTTTTCTGATTCGACAGAAAGCGAATCAGATTTTGTTTGCAGGATTAAAAAAAACTTCAAGATGGCGGCTTATAAAAAAGAATAAAATAATTGCCCCGATATTTTGCCCAAATTGCCTTTTTAGGTATACATCTCGACTGAATGAGTCGTTATGACAGACTATCATATTGTGTAAAGATGACATGTCAGAATAGTACAATATAAGTGTAACAGCACGTTTATTTCTATCCGAGAATCGGCATAAACATTTTAGTCGCCATTATATAAACAGAAGTTATCATAGTAACTACACTTCAGTTTTGATTTGCTCGATTACAGTGTAGGTGCAGACACCTACAGACACAGTGGGGAACTTCTTTGTGAACTCGAATTTAATAGTGTTTATATTTTTTTATATTTTCAGGCAAAAGCTGAAGTCATTTCGCCCGTTGTCCTCTCTAAATATTGGTATTTTAGGACTGGGACAAATAGGAAATACAGGTAAGTTGGGATTTTTATGTAAGGGCAAGAGGTTCATTATAGAGACCATATCATACAGGACTGGGTTGGAGTATGGTCTGTTTTAATTTTAACGTAAGAAGTCATAGTTTCTCTGGTGTAATGAAGAACAAAATCTGGATCGAACCAGCAGATATTTTTACATCCGCATGCATCAAGCTTTGATTTCAAAACGCAGATTTTGTATTCAAAATATAGAGAGCATGTCTTGGTGAGGGCGGGGTCGTTTAGTTTTATATTATAACCAATGATAGTATTACTATAACATACAAATTAAAAATACAAAAAAAAACACATCATGACATGATATCCTGTGTCGTAGCGAATTTTATCGTTCGCATATTCGCACTGGATGACTGGAAAATTCAGGAACATGCAAGAAGGTGCCTTTCTTTCTATAATATTTCTGAGAGCTATAAAGATACGGTGTCACCAGCTCAACTGAAACGTTCTCATGCCGCTATACTCTGCAATCGAATTCGCACCTACGGTCCGACCCCTTTTGAATAAATCCTGCGCACGTCACTGGTCAAGTATTATATTTCCAATCTATATTAAAGGGACAGATGCCATTTTTTTTACCAATGATACTTAAGTCTCTGGAATGGAAATTCCTAATTTTTTGAAATATTTTTGTGGGATCTTTTTAAGAAGGGATTTCTATTTGTTTTCAGTTTCTAAATATTGTAAGAGTTTAGGATTGACTGTGATTGGTATAAAGAGAAGAGAATCCAAGTCAGCTAGTCAGTATATAGATCAATATGGGTGAGTTATTTCATTGTATTTTTCTTATAATTGTAGGCTAAGAGTATTTTATACAAATTCATTTACTGATAAAAAATATTCCAAATTTTCCAAATTTCAGGTATACGTTCACTGTTTTATGTTCTTCTTTCAGTCTATGAAAGAAATATTATCTGTAAATACCAGTAGCGACACCAGTGAGGGTACAGGCTGAGAAAAAAGATTTGCACCCCAATTGTACCACTACTGTATTTTTTTAAAGATTTGATTTTGATACGTTTTTGCACCAAAATAATATGTGTCAGAATGGACCAACTAAATTCAATTATTCGAAAATTATCTTAAGAAACTTTTCAGACGCTACGTATGTGAGGCTTGCGACTGTTTCAGCCTCAAAAGATGTCCGCCAATTGAGTCACTCTGCACTGTATTTGTACCCCCAGTTCATATAATTTGCCCTAGTTTCCCTCTATAAATATACAAAATACAAATACATATATGAGTATACATTTTTATATTGATAGAAATATCATCAGAGTCGTAAATTACGTAGAGACATAGGAGACAGATGTCTCCTGCAATTTTAATACATATCTTCTATTCGGATATATCAAAAAAGCACATTGCATGATATATTTCTCAGCTACAGAAACTTTCAGCGTGAATTACTGACAATTATTGTCGAGGTTTATATATAAAATTGTTAGAGATGAAGTTGAGGGTACAAACCATTTTTCTAGGAGGTAAATGCCCCCCTACCCTCCCTTCTAACCCCAACTGGCGCCGCCACTGTACGTCATGCCTGGCACATAATTTCTTTCTAGGTATGTAGAAGAGCTTGAGAATATTTTACCATCCTGTGATTATATCTGTAGTATTCTACCTAGTACCCCTGATACCAGAAATCTACTCTCAGGCCAAATACTCTCATGTTGTTCACAAAGAGTAAGTAAAAAAAATATGGTATACCATTAACTTATACAATATATATATAATTTACCATAATGATAATTTACCATAATACCATTAACTTACACAATATTATTAGTTTACCATTATGTAAATTTACCATAATGCCATTAATTTCTTATTCAAGATTAATAGCTCTCCACAATGGTAATTTACAATAATACCATTAACTTATTCAATATTATTAGTTTGCCATAATGATGATTTACCACCATAAACTTATATACTATTTTAATAGTTTACCACAATGATAATTTACCATAATACCATTAACTTATACAATATTATTAGCCCTCCACAATGGTAATTTACAATAATACCATTAACTTATACAATATTATTAGCCCTCCACAATGATAATTTACAATAATACCATTAACTTATACAATATTATAAGCTCTCCACAATGGTAATTTACAATAATACCATTAACTTATACAATATTAATACATAGCTCACCACAATGATAAAATACCATTCATTTATCCAATATTTGCCATAATGATGATTTACCATAATACCATTAACTCTTACAATATTAATAGTTTACCACAATGATAATTTACAATAATACCATTAACTTATTCAATATTATTAGCTCTCCACAATGGTAATTTACAATAATACCATAAACTGATATACCATTTTATTAGTTTACCACAATGATAATTTACAATAATACCAGTAACTTATTCAATATTAATAGTTTACCACAATGATAGTGTTACCATGATACGATTAACGTATACAATATTGATAGTTTACCATAATGATAATTTACCATAATACCATTAACTCTTACAATATTAATAGTTTACCATAATGATAATTTACCACAATACCATTAACTCTTACAATATTAATAGTTTACCATAATGATAATTTACCATAATATCATTAACTTATACAATATTTATAGTTTACCATAATGATAAGTTACCAAATGATAGTTTTGCATTATTTACCACAATAAAACTTTACCATAATAGAAGTTACCATAATATTATTTTACCATAATAATAATTTATCAAAAGGATAGTTTACCACTTTACATGTTTGTCATCATGATAGGTAACCATATTTTACTATAATGATGGGGTACCATAATGACAGTTTGTTATAATGAAAGCTATAATTTACCATAATTATAATATACCAGTTTACTCATATGTATATTATACATGTAATATTAATGTTTTATTTAACAGAAACCGGTGTTGATAAATATAGGACGAGGAGATGTTATAGATGAACAGACAATTATAACAGCAATACAGTAAGTACATGGATAACAGAAATTTAACATTGAAGAGAGATTTAAAAAAACCAGTATCATATTGCGGTTTGAATAGTGCCCATGATAATGAAAAAATGTGTGTTATATTTCAGAAATAAATGGCTTAGCGGAGCAATATTAGATGTTTTTGTAACGGAGCCTCTTTCTGAATCTAGTCCAGCATGGGATCTACCTAACGTTACGATAACACCACACGTTTCTGGGCCTTCCTTATCGCAACAGGTAACATGTTAAATCTAGCCAAAACTTCCAGATTGTCCCCGCGTGAGGTGATTTGTAGACAACTGTATTAAACGATTAAGACATTTGTTTAAGTCAAAAAATACTGATTTTAAAATTCTATTTTGGATAATATTATTGAAAAGATAAACATAGATTATAGAGGATGTAATATTATGAATACCGATCCACGTAATTTGTTGTATTCTAAATCAGAATTGATTAAACAAAGTACTAACCATCCGAACCGCAAAACGAAATCCGAAGAGCTTAATGCGTATAGCGTAGCCTGGTTTATGGACTGGAATGGTTAAAATCAATTAAAATACAAAATTGTCGAGGAGGAAAGTTTCCAAAATTTTCAGAATCATGACGGTTTTCAGAAACCCTCTACCCTAGCCGAGGTCCACACCAACGATTATGATTATCTTCAACATCTGAAAGTTATATGTTATTTTTGTTTTCAGGTAGCTGAATGTATAGCTGATAATTATAATAGATATATTCAAGGTGACGAATTACAGTATCAAGTCAATTGGCAACGAGGATATTGATAGATACCAAGAATATTTGGATTCCATTGTACACTGCACAGGGATAGTTACTACCCATTCATAATGAGGGTGGGCATCAGATTAAATGTTCGGAATCCCGAGGGCTAAGATCTATTTCCACAATAATTTCTAAGTGTAAATGATGATTATAATGAACTCTTTCTTTAACGTGGGTCAGAATCAGGACCATTTAATATTATTACCCATCTTTCCCTTTTTTGCACGTACTTCAGGTGAAAAATACTAATAGTGCCTTAAAGGAGGTCGATGAGGTTGTTCGTCAGTATTGACAATTCAAACTAAAATCAACAACACTGCCCAACTCTTGCCACGTGGAGGCCACCTCTTTCAAGAGTCAAATTTTGAATTTTGATGCGCAAGCTAATATTCCAGATGATCGACCTTTCGCAAATGTTTCCCATACTATGGTCCGTCAACGAACAATTTACATATTTTCAAGTACAATAAGTGGTAATGAATAGATCGACATCAATTACCACTTTATCTACCTAGAAAATAGTAACCAGTCTTTGTTCATGACTTATTATCCCTGGATGTGCATAAATATTGTTGACGGACAATAGAAAAAAATACGCCCCCTTCCCACTCCTACTTACTATGGTCCGTCAACGAACAGTTTACATATTTTCAAGTGGAATAAGTGGTATTGAACGCAGCATAGATCGACATCAATTACCACTTTATCTACCTAGAAAATAGTAACCAGTCTTTGTCTATGACTTATCGTCCCTGGATGTGCATAAATATTGTTGTCGGACAATAGTAACATTACCCCCTTCCCACTCCTACCTACTATGGTCCGTCAACGAACAGTTTACATATTTTCAAGTGGAATAAGTGGTATTGAACGCAGCATAGTTCGATATCAAATACCACTTTAACTACCTAGAAAATAATAACCAGTCTTTGTTTATGACTTATCATCCCTGGATGTGCATAAATATTGTTGACAGACAATAGTAACATTACCCCCTTCCCACTCCTACCTACTATGGTCCGTCAACGAACAGTTTACATATTTTCAAGTGGAATAAGTGGTATAGAATACAGCATAGATCGACATCAATTACCACTTTATCTACCTAGAAAATAGTAACCAGTCTTTGTCTATGACTTATCATCCCTGGATGTGCATAAATATTGTTGCCGGACAATAGTAACATTACCCCCTTCCCAATCCTACTTACTATTGGCCGTCAACGAACAGTTTACATATTTTCAAGTGGAATAAGTGGTATTGAACGCAGCATAGATCGACATCAAATATCACTTTAACTACCTAGAAAATAGTAATCAGTCTTTGTTTATGACTTATCATCAAGTATTGATGTGCATAAATATTGTTGACGGACAATAGAAAATATACACTTACTTACTATGGTCCGCCAACAAACAGTTTACATATTTTCAAGTGGAATAATTGGTATAGAACGTAGCACAGATCGACATCAAATACCACTTTATCTACCAAGAAAATAGTAACCAGTCTTTGTTTATGACTTATCATCCCTGGATGTGCATAAATATTGTTGACAGACAATAGTAATATTAATACCCATCCCTCCCTCTTTTGCGCGTGCTTCACGTGAGTGATGGTAATGGTACCCAGAATAAGGTCACTGAGGTTGTTCGCCAGTATTGACAATTCAAAATAAAATCAGCAACACTGCCCGACTCTTGCCACGTGGAGGCCACCTCTTTAAAGAGTCAAATTTTAGTCCGAAAGCCAATGCTCTTCATAATCAAATAACCTAGTAGAAGTTAAAAAAGTAAAAGCTCCAAAGCCGTAATTCAAAATGCACAACTTTACTTACCAATTACGTCCGTTCTCCTGTATACTCCTAAATTAAAAGTGACAACAGAAAATGGCAACATTTTGTTTTATATTGTTAACGCGGACGTTATAGTAAAACAATGACGTGACGTCATAAACGTTTAAGGCTAAAATTTAAAATGTTGAAAATATTTGAAATTGTGCTTGTTTTTCTGCGAAAAATTCAAGTTTTACACTGAAATATGTAGCAATTAATTATTTACTAGAGGTTTTCATATATCATTGAGTACTAATTATAATAACAATATTTCTACAAGTTAAAAGTGGTGTATCAATTCCACAAAATTTGAATTAATTGGTAAAATTTGGATTTTGAGAACACAATTAACGCCAACAGAGTGTTTATAATGGGTATCAACTATGTGCGAATAGGGTTATTTGACTCGGTATTCAGTCGCGTCGCAAGTCCCCTAAAACTGGGGGTACAAATAGGGGACAGAACACTTTCGAGGCTGAATTTAAAATGCGGTAATTCGGTGGCGGAGTCTTGACGAAAGAATATTTCTTTAGGGGTGCAAATGAATTTTGAAAGAGATCAGTTAACCAACAGTTGAGATACTACCTGTCGAACTTTGGGACGTTTTTTTCTGGGACCACCGATATATTTTTGAAGTAATTATGCGGTTTTTTTTTTAACATTTCTAGTACTTCTTAGGACGATTTACAAAAAAATTCAAGACCCAAATTCACCCCCGAAAATGGCAAATCTGTCCCTTTAAAGATAAATATCTGAACCACTGTCTTTCGGGAGTACAGGGTTATGATGATGATGACATCAAATACCACTTTATCTACCTAGACAATAGTAGGCCTAACCAGTCTTTGTTTATGTGCATAGATATTGTTGACGGGCAATAGTTTCAATAGGCCTAATACTAAGGACTCGGGAGTCCGAAACCAAAATTTGCAATACAAAATGTACTTACCAATTACGTCCGTTCTCCTGTATACTCCTAAATTAAAAATGCCAATAGAAAATAGCAACATTTTCTTTTATATTGTTAACGCGGACGTTATAGTAAAACAATGACGTGACGTCATAAATGTTTCAGGCGAAAATCTAAAATGGTAAACAAAATTTGAAACTGTGCTTGTTTTTTTGCGAAAAATTATAATTACTGCTTTCGAGTTTAGGTCGAAACTGTATTGTTATCGTTATTTTTTTAGTTTTTATTGTGTGACTCTGCTTCCGCAAAGTTTTCCAGTTTGTAATCGAAATGTCAAATTCTTTTGGTTTTTATTTTCGATTTTTGCAGAGGGCACATAGCAAAGGCTGCATCTGCTTTTGCAAAATTTCTATATTGGTAGACCTTTTGTAGTGGCGATGTAGTTAATGAATAAATATTGGAACATTTTTGCAAAACCGGAAGTGACAGAATGTGCAAAAAGTACAGCAATTTTGAACCGATTTTCTTCAGGTTAGCATTTTTGAAATCCTGAGAAAATATCTGACCGGATAGAATTGAATTGTAGCACATTTTTTTCTGTCGAATTTTAGCGTTCTGAAAATAACAGGCAGGATTTTTAAAATTTTCAGATAAGTTAATGGACACATAGGCCTAACTCAAGATTTTGGCACCTATAGGAAATAGACATATGAAAAAAAATGCATTCTTTTCCAGTCGCCGATGTGTCCAGTTCGATGGTGGTCGATCAGATTGTCCCAATTGCTTCCTTCAGTGAAACATTGTCATTGGCATATTCGAACTTCGAATATCAAATCAATATTACATATGCCTAGTTTCGCCAAAATCGAATGTTCAAAAGCATGGCTCATTGTTATGCTGGGGTTTCTATTATTGGATAAAAGCATAATAAAGAGCCATCCTTTGGAAGATTCTGCAAGCGGAAACTGCAATACACGCTTTGATTGGTTAAACAATTGAACGTGAATGTATTAGAAATTTGTTAGATTACAAAAGACAATTAGATTGGGATGGAAATAAACTGTTCGGCTAGTCCTCTGCATCAGCTTTAGTGAAATGTCTTGGAACAGACTGACCTGGAAGGGGTAAACACATTAGTATTATTATATTATGCCGCAGTTCATCAGATATTTGTCAAATACATCTATATATGGTTTACCAAACAAGTTATATGTTTAAACTTCCTTTACAAAATATAAGTTTATTTCATATACATATATAAATAACATACACAATGTAAGCACTTTTAAAAAATATTAGCAATAAAATAATATTATAAAGATTTTTTTATGGAATGCTGAGAATGTCTTGCCTTCCAAGCCATCATCATTGTTGTGCATCTCAAAACATTTAAGCCTTCATTTTTTTTTCAAGAAAGTGTGCACATTACATTAGCAATTATACCTATCTTCAATCTATGTCAAGTTATGTTCTCAGCAAGTTGTGTTTCCACTGTGGATTGTTCAGTTATTTCTCCCATTACACCAGTAATGTCTGACTGAAGCCTTAAAAGTTCCAAAATCTGATTTTTGTCTTCAAGACTCTTTTGTATTGGCTAATAACTTTTTAAGATTTTTTCATGATAGAAATTGGTATCAATTCTCTCTGGTTCGAAATTTAAAAAAAAAGCGACCTGAGATTTTGTCTATTTTTTTACAATTTGTTTTAGGCTTTCATCTTTTTCTACCTTATACTTCAAAAGTTTGGCATAACGTTTTAAAATTTTCTTCCAATAACATGACACATCCTCCATTCTTAAATGGTCCCAAATAAATTGTCTGCCCCTTTCAGCAATTTTTCTTACAACTTCATCATTTTCTTGTGCAAATAATAACAATTCTTTCACATTAGATAAACTCTGTTCAACTGGTATATAATGTACCCAGGGTTTCATAGCTGTGTAGAAAAACTCTAACCATTTATCACCAACATGAAACACAACAGAATCACATAAAAATAAATGTTTCAATCGAAAACTAGCTGCCACACCTCGAAAGTTAAACAAGTATTTATATTTACAATGATCTTCAAGTTTGATTTCAGCAGCTGGTGGTTGATGAAGAGTATCGGCATCAGATTTCCAAGCTTGATTCTTGGTATATTGGGCGTTAACTAGATCTGGTTCCTTACGAGATAACAAAACCAGAGGATCACGTTCAGATGACGTCCTGGACCCTAAGAAGAAACCTGTGTTTAATTTCTTTTCCCATGGCCATTCACTTGCAGCTTTTGGAATGATTTCTCTTTGTTTATCCCAGCGTCCTAAACCAGTAGGATAAATTGGCCAGACAGCTGGTCCACCTTCCCAAAATGTCCATGCTGGATACATTATATCCCAATTGTCACTTCTCACAGTGCTAAATGAGAACACAGGAAGTGGAGAAGTACGTTTCATTGTTTTCGGCCAATCATGTACATTAATAATTAACTCCATATCAGGTAGCTGTTTGATTATTTCTAAGATAAAGTGTTCATTTCCTGAACAGCGTGCCCCAAACATGCACTTTTCCTCTCTGTATAACTTATGGTTTATGATTTGATAATGAGTTCCAAGTCCTCTCTCTTTGGCAGTTTCAAACTCTTTCTTGGTAATTTCTCCCTTTTTCTCCCAAACTCTAAAATCATCTTTTATAACTTGGTCATAACATGAGCAATCCTGACTGTCACATTCTTTGTGTTTGCTAACTGCCTCTTCAATTAACGACAAATATTTGTCCCATTTTCCTGAAGATTTTTTGTATTTTGATTTTTCGTGGTCGTCGATGGATGTTCCGCATTGTTCACTGTCACTATCACAAGCATTTTCACATATAATTAACGGAATTATGGCAAAAACAAAGAGATAAACACAAATCGAAAGTTTGTTTTGCAGACGCATTTTTCATCATACGAAAACCACCTCCTGATTAAAGAGCTCGGAAAACATTCGGAACACATCGTCTTTACACGTGGCAAAACCAACAGTACAAAATTAAACTTACAGTATGTCATATTTCTGCTCTGTTTGAAAATAACAAAGTAAACATTTTAGAAAATGTGCACGATTAACAAAATCCAGTCCTGGAATGGCTTCAGACGCCCTATCTATTATATCGCCTTCTTCTAAGACCTATAGCCTAATCCGACCGAAGGCAAAGAAATTGTTTAGAATTTGTCCTTGAAATTCTGAAGTATATCTAAATAAATAGGCCTATGTAACGGGCTCGGTAATAAACCCAAGTAGGACTAGGCCCAGTTTTGCATGTTTTGGCATTTAAAATTTTTAAAAGTGGACGACGGGATTTAGATCAATTGGAAATATTCAAATCTGGACGGGTCGAATGACATGGGCCCGTGTTGCACAAGCAGTACAAGCAAAACCCTACTCTGTACACGGCACATTTTAGAAATTTTATTTGCTGAAATTACCGTGGTGTAGCTCAGTCTGAAGTGAACGATAGGCCTGGAAAAGGCACAGTTCCTCGTGCATATTTATTCTTTTCGGCCATTTATTCAAATCGATTAGAAATTAGATTCGCGTGTATCATGTTTACCCTATGTCACCCTGTGGCTTTAAACATAGGTCTCCTATTATATGTTTTTTTCTGTTTTTAATATTTACTTACGATGTAAATATTAAACAAGACAACAGATGCTTACTTCACTTGAATATATATTCATAGGTTAAATATTGTCAATATTTGATTTACAATTAAAGGTGTATGCCCCGTGAATTTTTTTTTTATTAAAACATAAAAGTCCTTTTGCGCACTATTCTTTTCAATACGGGGTATCCATCGATATACTTTGTAAAATTTGAAACATCTAAAATATAATTTATACATATTTAGTATCTGTAGGAAATTCTTCTCATATTAAAGAAAACTCAACTCATTTTCACCACAAATTTTCGGTGGAAAAATCAATTTTTAGAACAACTTTCAATGAGCGCCACATAAAATGAAATTCCAAACAGTTACTAGACATTGCGCGTGCTAAGAATTTGTTTCTCCATTTGATAAAGACCATGGGGCCGAAAGTTTGTGGTAAAAAAAAGTTGTATTTACTTTAATACTAAATATTATTGTCTAAATGCATAGTTATGCGCAATGCTGCAATGGTGTAAAATTTTAAAAATCGGTCTGTTTTTTTAAGGTTATAAAACAGGTATTACCGCCTTTATTGACAATTAAATTATAAAACCCAATATTCACTTGACAATATTAATGAAAATCAATATAGTATTGGCCATTGAGAGACAGGAGGTCATATAATTGGTTACTATTTTTTAAGTCACAGGATCCAATTATTGATGTAGATTCGATTGACGCTAATATATCAACAAAATGAATATTTCGCGCTTTAGTTCATAGCTTAAATAAACTAGATGCTATTGCAGGTACATGCATTATTATCGTTTGTAAAAAATATTTTCACTCGAAGACGTGATTGATGATGTCTACCTCTTTGCGTCCCGTTTTACAAATGCAATAACGGCTGGACATGGCTGTAGCTGATTTTATGAATTTTTCTTTATGTATAATTTGTCCCAAATAGGCTATAATATAAACAGTTAAATTGTCAATTTCTGTAGTAGCAAAGCCAATTAAAATCAAATTATGTTTCATTAAAGGATCCTTTCGGGTTTGATAAAAATGTTTACAATTTGCATAGCTGAGAAGTCGGTAAATATTTGAAATAGTTGAGTGTTCTGGATATTTGTTTATCACTTGGTAAATAGCAATTATATTTGTTGTCACGAAGGCATTTGCAAATGAAAGTCTGTATGCATGTTAAAGGCAGTGGTTCACCATTGATTTGGATCTTGAATATAAGTAAATGGTCTTAAGAACTGCTCCTCCATTCATTAATTTTTATTTCATTTTAAATTAATATAAAAGAGTGCTCGAATGTGTTTTGCTTCTTAGAATGTAGTAATTATTTTTAGTGGTCTGATTCCATCAAAGCTACCCACAATGCTTTAATGACAGCCATCTTGGTTTTGATTTATAAATAAAGAAAATTAAATCTAGAAAGCGAAGATCACAAAAAGGCCTAAATCCCCACTAGATAAGGGTAATGGTTCAATATTTCTTTTTTTATATAGGGCTACAATTTATTAATCAATGTAGACATTGGCATTTCTCTCTTTTCGCTACCCACAAATTACTAGGCTTATAAGGCATATCTGGCCTCGATTCACCATTGGCATTGACTTTTACTTTTGTGACTTCTTAAATTAAGATTTTATTGTGTCTGTGCCCTTGTGGTTGGACTTGATACTGAAGGTGCAACTGAGTCTGCTGAATCGAAATTGTTCACTGTCTAACTCACTGACTTCACTGTTGTAATAACTAACATGTTATTTGTGATAGAAATTCTTTGGTTCAAACAAATCAAATGGGTCTGATAATGATTCTTTTAACTTAATCATCAGCTTATAGTTATATAGACCTAGTTATTATAGAGATAGAACAGAATATTTATTGTGTTTTGTTTTCAGGGTATCTAGTTGTAAAGGAAGATGTTTCCAAATCGTTTTAATATACCGCCACCAGGCAATAATTTTATGGGTAATCGTCCTGCTGGTGGCTTTAATACCTTTAACAAGAGTGCAGGTAACCAAGGTTTTGGTAACCAGTTTAACAGACCACCACCACCATTTATTCAACCAAGATTTAATAATCAAAATATGAATGCTGGTTTCAACATCGTAGGACCTGGTTTCTTCAATAATAGACCACAGTTCAATCCAGCAATGAGACCCCCTTTTAACCAGGTATGGTGAATTATAACCTGATGTTAGAATATATAACTTAGTTAAAAGTATCCATCTGATAAGCTTATAGATTATGTGTTGAAAGATGATAAGCTTAATATTCTAATTTATGGCATAAAAATGTCAACAAAGCATTATGTTATATATATCAACAGTTGTACCTAATAATCTAAACATCCAGCACTATAACCAAAATATGAAAATACTCTAATCTGCATCTAGTACGGTCAGTATCTAAGCAATGAAAACAACTGTCATCAGGATGAAGGAAACTCCAGGTCTAATGAGTACCTCCTATTAAAAAAAAACTGTCAATAAGCTTATATCACTTTTATTTCAGGGTCCAAATAACCAGGGATTTAATCAGAATATGCCTGGTTTCCTTAGAAACCAAGAGATGAATTTTGGAGGGAATAACAATTCCAATTTCAATGGTCCTGCAGAAAATTTTAATAGGTTTGACAATGAACAGAAAGGTTTTGGTCAAAACAGTTCAGAGGACTGTGGGCATCAGGAATCAGACAATTCCTACAGGAATGAAGGATCTATGAACAGATTTGAAGAAGCTAAACGATTTGGTCATGATGACTCTAACAATCGGTTTGATGGAAACTTCGGCAGTCGGTTTGATGACAGAGGACCTGGCAACCAAATGAGAGAACCAAATCATGGTAGTTTTAATTCTCCTGACAATAGATTCAGTAAAGAACACTCTGGGAATGGTAACAGATTTTCAAATGAAATTTCCAGCAATAAATTTGACTCAGAAATGGGTGGAAATCGATTCAGAGAAGACAGTTCTGGCAACAGATTTGACAATAGCGGTTCAAGTGACAGATACAATGAAGATAATATGCCACACAGCAGATTTGATGCTGAGAAAAGCAACAGGTTTAGCAATGAAGATTCTGGCAACAGATTTGACAGTAAACAATCTGGCAATAGATTCAGTGACCGAAATTATGATGATTCTAGGGGAAATGAGATTGAAAACTCTGGCAAAAGGTATGATTTGGAAAATACTGGTCAGAGATATGATTTGGAAAGCTCTGGCAACAGGTATGATTCAGAAAACTCTGGCAATAGGTTTAATTCGGAAAACACTGGCAAAAGATATGGTTTGGAGACACCTGGCCAGAGATATGATTCAGAAAACTCTGGCAAAAGATATGATTCTGAAAATGCTGGCAATAGGTATGATTCAGAAAACTCTGGCAATAGGTATGATTCAGAAAACTCTGGCAAGAGATATGATACAGAAAATGCTGGTCAGAGATATGCTGCTGAAAACTCTGGCAAAAGGTATGATTTGGAAAATGCTGGCCAAAGATTTGATGCAGAAAACTCTGGCAAAAGGTATGATTTGGAAAATTCGGGCCAGAGGTATGATTCAGAAAACACTGGCCCCAGATATAATTCTGAACAATCGGGAAATGAAAAGCGAAGAAGTAGATTTGACACTGATCAATCTGGAAACAGAAATTTTCAAGACCAAGATGACAGACATGGAAGTGGACATTCCAATAGATCTCATAAATATGATCGTGATTACTGCAACAACTATGACAGTGGTAGTGACCGCAATGAGCGTTCAGACGAGCGTTCAAACGAGCATTCAGAAGATCGTTATGATAAAAGTGAAGACAGATACAGTAAATCTGAGGATCGAGATAGACATGACAAGAAATCTGATAGACGCAGTGAAAAATACGACTCTAAAAGAGATGACTACAGAGATCGTGATTCAAAAAGTTATGAAGATCGTGAGCGAGATCGTGATAGGTAAGTTTTATTTTTGATTCTATCTGAAAATGTAGAGCACATAAGTGACAGAATTTGACACATGAGCTAAACACCTTTTATGCTCACTCTATAATTGGTTGATGCCATTCGGAAATGGCCATGTTTTAACACGATTTTCAATTCCCCACGTGTGTAGGTTCAACCTAGCATAGAAAAACTCTGGTTTAAAAACCAGGACTGTCAGGTGGTGGTGGTGGTAAATGACAAGTTAACATTCGCTTCCAGCGGATGCTGATATCGCAAACTAGGACTGTCAGAGAAAATTGATCAACCCTGTGTTCTTGCACATTCTCCCATTTGCATACTGCGTTACTCTGATAAGTTGAAATAGTGCTAACTTTTCAGGTCAAATAGGAGATCGAGAGATTCTCGAGATGACAAGCGTAAATCAGATTATTCAAGTCGTGGAAGAGATAGAGATTATGATAGAGGTCGTGATAGGAAAGATCATCGTGATAGAAGTCGTGAGAAAGATAGAAGTCGTGATAGAGATAGATATGACAAAGATTCTAGAAGCTCGTCTCCAGAGGTAAATCTTATATGTTTTTATGGCCCAATAGGCAAAATGCAGATAAGGGTTATTTTGAGAAGGTGGTGTAAGTTCGAGAACTCTACAAAATTTATCTTTGGTGGTGCTCAATTAGTGATTTCTGCTCTTTTGAGATTCGTGAAATCAACCTGAAATTCAACAAGACAAGTTGGAACGTAGACAATATTCAAAATGGTGGAAAATTGAACACACTAATTGAACGTCAGATGGGAATTTTTAAGGTGATAAACAAAGTGCAGTTAGTCATTTTTTCTGCTGAAATGTTTGTAGATAATATTGATTCTAGAGAGTGCTAACGATAGCTGAAATTCAGCTGTATTGAGCTCTGTAAAAGAAAAGAAACATTTCTTCTTAGTCTCCTTCAACTGAAACATTGTTTAAATCACAATGGAGACTTCTATTTAAAAAATCGCACTGGCTATTTGTACCAACACGGTGTGTGTTCTCTATGGCTGCTAACAACGATACAGATAAGATAAGACACAATAAGCATGCTAGTTTTGGGGTTTTAAAAGTGTGAAGCCATTTTGATTGTCAAGAATAGGGTTAGGTAGGGATGGCCATGTTTTTTAATGCCTGTTTTTGTACCGTCGCAGTATGAATAGCCATGGCCTAGAAAATACCTTGATGGTGCAGTACACAATTCCTTTTTGAATAAATCTCCCTGGTAATTGAAAAAACATCAATTTATTCTTGTAATTATGAGGCCAGGCCAGTTCTAATCTTTAGGTTTATGTATTTGTAGGATGACCGGTACAGTAGCAGTAAAGATGACAGATCTACAGATAGATTTCAATCAGAGAAAGCAACCAGTACTATTTTATTACGTGGTGTACCAACTGACTGTGATGAAGCTTATGTAAGTAGTGAATTATTCACATGGTAGCACTCCACGCTACACCATCGCCTATCTCAGTAGGTAGTGATATATGGATGCTTGGACAGAACTCTATTTCTTCTCTGATCTGATGACAGGCCATGAAATTTCATTTTAGTTACCTGATATCACTCTGGGCTGGCTCATATTCAAGTTGGGTTTCCACTGCCTTTACTTTATACCTCTAGGAACACCTATCCTTCAATTTAGTTGTTTTGTAAAGCAGTTTGCCTTCTCTTCAGTTACTTACTATATGACATGATGCGATCAGAAGAAAACTGCTACAAACACTCTTTGCTTTAATGCAAGGCAGAAACATTAAGTTATACACCTTGATTTTTTCAATGTCACTTCTGACTCTCTCATACTATTGTCAGCTTGTAGATTGTTTTGTATATTCTCCTTGTGCTATTGTCAACATAAACAATGGATTGCTTTTGTTATCAGTTTGTAATAAGTAAACTTGTAATAATATTGATATTGTTATATTTTCTAGATAATAAAAAAGGTTAATAATTGTGGAGTTTCTCCTCGTGATGTCCGTATTATTCGACGTAAATCAACTGGTAAGCTAACCTATTTCCATTCTTCCCCATTTATTATGAATGTTAGGTTAAGTTAAGGTTAGGTTAGGTTTGTGGAAACTTGCTGGTAGTCAATGATTTTTTTGATGTCTTTATTTCTTTTTAATATTGTTTTTTAGGTAAGGCCTAGCCTAATTCTATATATTCAGGCCATATTTTTCAGCTTTCCAAAATTTGATTTTCGATATGAGTTCATTTTAACAAAAAGATATAGCAGAAATATACTATACATACCTGTAAATGTATAGAAATAGGCTTTGAAGGGGACATCTCAGATAGAGATTCTGTTAAAAATATGCCACTGGAAAAGTAGTCCAGATTATTGGGCATTTTTAGAAACGATCTCTATCAGAGATAGTTTTCAATAATTCCTTTTGTTTCTCCCAAAATGTTTTTGGTTAAGGATTTGTCACCATTTTTGTTAAATTAACCTGTTTTTTTTTAATTCTTCCTTGTATAAAAACTCATCTCACCTGATTTAAATCATAAGATAAATGAGTTTCTTAAGGGTTTTGTAAGATTCTGAAATGTCTAACTTTATCTGAAAGGAAACATGCACAAAACAAAAATATCGAAAAATGTGGAATATATTGGTATGCAAATTCAATTTCACCTTTTTGGATTTTGGATATAAAAAATGCATCTGTATATTTTTCTGAAAATGTAATTGTTTTTTTTTCATATTCTTCATATTTTTTCCGTAAGATATTTTGAGTCAAGTTTTGTTTAGAAACATTGTAATTATTTCCACTCAGCCTTAAACAGGCCGATTTGTTCGAAAAGAAAATGTTGATAATACCGGGTTATGAAATTTTGTGGGATAGCCCTAGCCTGTGCCTGTGTTTTCGTAACATTGCTGAACTGCAATGTTACAACCTAAAATTTCTAACAATGTGTAATGCCATCTTCACAATTTCAAGCTATTACGAACTGTGTCTTAGGTTGTAATAGCTTAACATTGTGAAGATGATTTGATGCATCATTCTTTTTCTGGCAACAATATCATGATTTATAATAATGATTTTACTTCATTTGACCTAAACCAGCAAGTTTCAAAAAGTCAAGCTTTAAGATATATTTTTGTTTATTTCTACTGAAAGTTTATGATGCCCTACTAATTATCGTGTGTTGTTGATTGAACAGGTTTGGCCAGGGGCTTCGCTTACGTAGAGTTTAAGAGTACCGATGAGGCACAGCAATGGATGGAAGCAACTCAGGTTAAAAACAACATCATTTTCAAGTTTTTTTTATTTACTATTATTATTGATGGTATAATGTATGGTATAGTAAACAAACAATACATGACATAAACAATACAGTATACATTAAAACATACAAAACCACCGCCATGTTCAAACTTTTTATACAAGAAAACTCAAGATAATGCTCTCCTTAATTTTCTTATCACCAAGATCAATATGTCTATTCCTTAGTCTTATCTTATGTTATAGATGATTTTGATCAGTTAACTTTACTGCCAATTTTCAGCGGGAAATACCCACTAAAGGTTAACAGTCGGCCATTTGAAGCTGCATTCATACATGATTGGTTAAATAAATATAGACTAGAACTATTTTACTGCTCATAGGCTACTGTATATATATATATATACTGTCACTACTCTGAGACTTTGACACCTTAATTAATTTACTGGACAATCAATAATTTTGCTGTAATATGTTCAAGACAGAATATTGTACCACATAGCACACATACTTTACCAAATATGATAATGAGTAACGAACTAGGACTATGTTTTGTATGTTAAGCTAGGTTATAACCAGTATTTAAAGCTTGGACAGAAATGACCGAGTTTTTCCAACAGCTGAAAACTTATAGGATGTTTACTTTGTCAATCTGAAATAACATAGCCTGGATTTAAAGTGCATTATGCCAATTATGCATGAATATTTATTTGAAGTTATCAATCGAGAAAAAAAAAAAAGATATTTTGATGTACTTCTCCATGGATTTTTACACGACTTAGACTGAACAAAATCATTACATTCATCATACATTGTTGAAAAAAGGTATCATTTCATTTCATACTACAAATTGCATAAAACAGAAAATCACAGTAAATATTTTGATAAATCCTTATTATTTGCTATGTATATTGAATTGTTTGCGCATAGTGCAATATTTGTCATGATTGTTTCAAATTAGATCCACAAGAAACAATGGCGGTGGACAACTAGCAGAGAAAAGGAAATTCAACTTTGGTTTGGTTTGGAAAGTTGAATAAGTCCCAGTGCCGTTCTAGAACTGTTTTTGGTTTGGTTGAAACATGGCGAATAATGATTGGTTGAAAAAAAAACACTGGAGTTCAGAATTATAACGACTGCTTTTTTTTTGACAGGGAAGGATAACTCTCCTGGATCAGAGTGTGACGTTACACTACAGTATACCAAAAGGTTCTCCACCCAACAATTTTCAAGCTGCTCGGTGTGATTGGATCTGTAAAAAGGTATGCTCCAATAAGTTCTATACCTTTCTGTATAGGTTTATTCTGTTTATTAGCCTCAGGCTGTCTGACTTTCTGGTGCCAGATGTGACAAGTAAATTGCTGATTTGGGATACAGAAAGTAAACTTTTGGAAACCATATACTTGATGATCATTAAAGATGTTCTACCTCTGAAAATGGCTAAAAATTTAAATTCTCAAACATGACCAGTAATGTATTATATTCACTAGTAGAAATATCTGATATCATAATATATAACAGATTACCTGTATTATTCAAAAAATCTATAAAACTATATGATTATTCAAACACATGAAAAAAATTTTTAAGTTATGAAACCCGTTAAGTCCACTGATGGATATATACTTGAATTGGTCAATTTTTAGAAATTTTATGTTCATAGAATAATTTTAAAATCCCCGAATAGTTTGTTGTGGAAACTATTGCTTTAAGATATATGTGCAATGTGTATTTGTAGTGTGGTGCCCATAATTTCCGAAGGAGAGATGTATGTTTTAAATGTAGTTTATCTCGAGAAGGTAAGAATGTTTCCTATAAGATAATGATAAAGCAATCATAGTTTTTGAATTGTGGGTGATCTTGATGTCTAAAGCTAAGATTCCATATACGCGTCATACGGATCTGTCATCCGTGATGCGTTAAAAATCGAAAGAGGGTATGATTCCATATATGCAGAAGCGGTATCCGTCAAATGGTTTCCGTCATGCGTCAGGTGTAGCGATTTTTGACGCATTCGGACGCCTTTCCGCGCGGAGATCTCCCAAATGTGACATATTTTGTGAGGATTCCGTCTTTTTTATGCACCAAAGCATCCATCTGTCTAGAAGTCCGTGCATCAAAAGAAAGATAACGCATACGTTTAACGCACATATGAAATCATATTTGACGCATGACGCGTATATGGAATCTTAGCTTAACTAATTTAAACATTTAGTTTTATTGTACAGACTGTTAGAACTATGTTCTCTTATACAGTATTTTGTCATGGTATTTGTACCATGAACTTTGTATGAAAAATGGACAGACAGAAATATTAATCAGAACACAATATAGAATAGTAACTTACTTGAAAGGAGACTGTAAACTTGTAGCATAATTTTATTTCATTTCAATATGAAGTATTTCTGTTGTAGAATCAGACAACGTCCAAACAGGAGAAGGTTTTGATGAAGTTGGAATCAATCCTTGTAACAGTGAGTATACTTTGTTTCTAATGGTTAGGTCCATGTCGTTAGAAAGTTAATAACTTACTCTTGTGGTAGAGAAATTACATTTCTAATTGGTATATTACGCATATATTTATATACAAAAACATAATTGGTCAATATTATGAATCGTAAGTAAATAGATAGATATTTATATGAGAATACACAAATCCTCAATTTTGAATGAACTCGGGACATCTTCATGCAAATTGCATGCACTATTCTGGAATGATAATAGAGAGATAGGCATTGCCAGTTATTCCTTAAAGACCTACCTAGACTTGTTTTGTATTCTATCATTATATTATCTAAAATCCTGTATTATGTTGTATTTGTCTTAATAAAAATTGCTGACAATCCAAAGTTACAGAAACTTGACAAAGAACTTATCTTTTCAGCCTTAATATTTCGAGGTCTTGATGCATTAACCACAGAAGAAACCTTAGTACATGCCTTAACCACAGTAACCATGACGATCAAAAATGTACGAATAATGAGAGACAAGACTACAAGTACTTCTCGAGGTTATGGCTTCGTAGAATTTAATTCTGTTGCTGAGGCAACCAAAATATTAGAGACCTTGACCTCATCCAAGTCCGCTTTTGAAGTTGACGGGAAGCTGATTATTGTGGCTTATGCTAAAAATACTTTCTCCACAGTGTAAGTTAAGGTTCATTTTCTTCTGTTAATGATACATCAAATTCTTTGTCTGTTATATACATAACATTATTATTTTTTGCTTTTGTCTGTGTAGATAAAAATTATTTTTATTATCTGTATACATGTACAAAAAATTAAAATTTTTGTATACCTTTTTTTTGATTTTCTTTTGTCTTTTGTGTATGTTGCTTTTCCAATCATTAAATTCTTATTGTTAACATTTCCTTTCAGTATGATGACTCAAAATCAATATATGGCACAAGCAGTAAGTTTAAATTCTTTCATTTGTTGATTCTTTGTCCTTAAATTGTATGAATGAGTTTTGGATTCTGTGATATTAGGACAGAATTATGGTAGACAACTTGTTAGATTACAATAGGGGCAAAAAATAATTAAGAAAAAGTAACATATTTGTAATCTCCTTTTGAGGTTTTCTTCCTATATACATACATATTTTTTCCAAAATGTTAGAGATCTATCTATCTTTATTAATTCATCTTGAGCTATTAACTATTATAGTTTCTCTGGTTATTATTGATGACAATATTGTGATATTTTTAGGACAGTAAACCAGGATACAGTACCCCATCTCAACATTCTGATCAACTATATGATTATAATCAGTTCTATAATACACAAAACACAGGTAAGTTTACTCTCACAATGTAAACAGCGTGTACCCTTTCAACTCAAGCAAGCCACTCCACCGACCGCATTATTTTGGATATTTAACTAACATATGATGTGTTTGAACTGTACAACTAACATAATGATCTGTTTGAACTGTATAAGTAACATAATGATCTGTTTGAACTGTATAAGTAACATAATGATCTGTTTGAACTGTATAAGTAACATAATGATCTGTTTGAACTGTATAAGTAACATAATGATCTGTTTGAACTGTACAACTAACATAATGATCTGTTTGAACTGTACAACTAACATATGATATGTTTGAACTGTACAACTAACATATGATCTGTTTGAACTGTACAACTAACATATGATCTGTTTGAACTGTACAACTAACATATGATCTGTTTGAACTGTATAACTAACATATGATCTGTTTGAACTGTACAACTAACATAATGATCTGTTTGAACTGTATAAGTAACATATGATCTGTTTGAACTGTATAACTAACATATGATCTGTTTGAACTGTACAACTAACATAATGATCTGTTTGAACTGTATAAGTAACATATGATCTGTTTGAACTGTACAACTAACATAATGATCTGTTTGAACTGTACAACTAACATATGATATGTTTGAACTGTACAACTAACATATGATCTGTTTGAACTGTATAACTAACATATGATCTGTTTGAACTGTACAACTAACATAATGATCTGTTTGAACTGTATAAGTAACATATGATCTGTTGAACTGTATAACTAACATATGATATGT